TTCCTTCCTTCCTTCCTTCCTTCCTTCCTTCCTTCCTTCCTTCCTTCTTTCCTTCCCTCCTTCCTTCCTTTTACCATCCATCTTCCTTTCTTCCTACCCTCTTCCTTCCTGCCATCCATCCATCCATCTTCTTTCCTTCTCCTCCCCTTCCCTCCATCGTCCCTCCCTCCCTTCCTTCCAACATTTAAATCCTGGACTTTGTAAAGCGAAGCTAAGTTTCCTTTTGGATGTGGAGGTACGAAACACCGGCATTTCTTCCTTAGAAGTTCTCAGCAACTTCTGACTCATTTCTTGAAGACAATGGCCAGCATCTTTGGAGGAATCTTTTCTTTAGGAAATAAACAGTCAGGCTCTTACATCCAGGGTTTTAACCACACCGTTGGCAAAGTTCAGGTTGAAAATATTCGGCAGCGGGATTCCAATATTCAGGCCAACTAAACAAAAGCAACAAAACCACACAATTAGGTCCCAAATCCTAGGTGTTTGGTTCAAAGCGATGGTGCTCCACTTACTGTATTATTATTATTTTTTTGCAAATCACTTAATGTGTGTCATTTGCACAATGACACTGCTGTATAAAGTGCATCACGTATATGGCCCCTCCCTTCCCTGGCCAAGACCCTGCTCACAACACAAAGTTTGTCACAATGCAATTGTCTACAACAACAGGCTCCCTTCGTGGCTCACTCCCTTGTGATTGCGATTGCTGGAAGAAATATCCACAACCTCAAGTGTGCAGATGATGCCACTCTAATGGCAGAAAGTGAAGAGGAACGAAAGAGCCTCTTGGTGCCGACAAAGGAGGAGAGTGAACAAGTTGGCTTGAAACTCAACATTAAGAAAACTAATTTGAGAGAAAACCCTTACCTGTGCCTGTGCTTCCTAGCCCTGACACCTGGCTTGTACCGCTTCTTATATGACAGTATATTAAAGTGCCAGCTTGATAAAAGACACAAACTAAAAGGAAAGTTTGTAATCTGCATTGTGTAAAACTTAATAGTTGCAAATGAATCAGTCTGGGGGCTATTTTGGACATTACTATCTGGGACATGACGAGAATACGGAACCCAAAAGGGCAGATGACAAAGAGTTTTTCAGATAAGTGCCAAACAACAGGATGGCAGAGTGAAATGACTAAGTTTTTCAGAGGAACAGAAGAGATGAGAGAAAAAGAGTATATAAGAAGGGGTTTTATCTCAGATCATGGCCACTAGCCATGGCTACTCCTTACTTGACTTGGCCAGGTCAGTGGACTTTATTGCAATGGGTTGTTTGTAGGTATTACTTTACTGAAATGTTGTTATGTTATGATGGCTGTTCATGTTCCAAATTCCTCATGAAACAAACCTCTGATCTCAAAGTAGGATTGATTGCCTGTGGTCTGTCTGTGTTCCCCTTTTATTGAATTATTTTTACGACACTAAGATCCTCTTAATTCCTGGCAAATAGATGGGAAAGAAATGGGGGTAAGTGACAGATTTTATTTTCCTGGGCTCCAAGGTCACTGCCGATGGGGACTGCAGCCAAGTAATTAAAAGAGGCGTGTTCTGGTGAGGAAACCTACGGCAAAGCTAGACAGCATCCTAAAAAGCAGAGACACCCCCCTGCCAACAAATGTGTGTCTAGTCAAGGCTGTGGTTTTCCCAGTTGCAATGTAGGGCTGTGAAAGTTGGACCAAGGAAGCATTTAGGTACCCAGACATCTTTGTTCAAATGTATCCTCCGGACAAATCGGATGCAAAACTAGATAAAGCCGTTTTCCCCAACCTTCTCCCTTCTCAACGTTAAAATGGCATTGATGTGTTGAGATATCTCAAGGCTAGGACATTACATTAGAGCGATAACTCCCAGAACTGATGCCCAGAGATGTTGATAATTCTTAATAATTTCCTCCCAGGGAAGAAAGCTATGGCAAATCTAAGCAGCTTACTCAAAAGCAGAGACATCCCCCTGCTAACAAAAAGGCGTAGAGTCAAGGCTATGGTTTTATGCGTGGCTGTGAAAGTTGGACCATGAGAAAGGCTGAGCGCCAAAGAATGGAGGCCTTTGAACTCTGGAGAAGACTCCGGCGAGTTCCTTGGACTACAAGGCCGCCCAACCAGTTGGTCCTAGAGGAGATCAGCCCCGATCCTGAAGATCCTGAAGAGGAAACTCAAAGACTTCGGCCACCTCATGAGAAGGAAGGAAGGAAGGACTCCCTGGAGAAGAAGAGCTGAATGCTGGGAACGATGGAGGGAAAAAGAAGAAGAGGATGACAGAGGAGGAGGGGGCTGGATGGAGTCTTTGAAGCGGTTGGCGTGAGCTTAAATGGACTCCGGAGGATGACAGAGGACAGGAAGACCTGGAGGAAGGTTGTCCACGGGGCTGTGATGGGTTGGACATGAGTTTGCAACTAACAACAACAATAACAGCAACGACAATAATGGAAACCTGGAAGTCCTACCGTTAATCAGAGGCAGGTATCCGATCTGAAGGATGTTTGTGATCCAGTTCTTAAGGGCGTTTTCCTGCAAAACCAAAAACCAAAAAGACGTGAGAAAGAATTCTCCTTCTCCTTTGCAAAATGGTTTTGCAATTAGTAGCACATTTCCTGCATTTCAAATGTTCAACTGCTGACCTCCAGCACGATTCCACCTCTCCTAGCTAGGGTGGTGTATTGTATTTCTGTAGTATTTTATTTGCATAGTTTTATCTTTTTAATATTGCAAGTGGCCCAGAGTTACCCTGTGGTAAGATGGACAGCATATACATTTAATACGTGGACACATACAATGAAATATAACATAAAATTATAGAATAGAATACAGAATAGAAAACAGAATAGAATAATAAAATAAGATAATAAAATAGAAAAAAATAGAATAGAATACAGAATAGAAAATAGAATAGAATAATAAAATAAGATAATAAAATAGAAAAAATAGAATACAATGAAAATGAAATAAAATAAAATAAAATAGTAAAATAAAATAACAGAATAGAATAAAAGTAAAAGAAAATACATAGAATAGAATAAAAAATAATAGAATAGAATAAAACATAAAATAAAACAATACAATACAATAGAATACAAATAATAGAATAGAAAATAAAATTTAAAAAATTAGACTAGAAAAGATTAAAAATAAGATAATAAAATAAAATAATAAAATAAAATAAAATAAAAACCCCATAGAGAACTACTCTGCAGATCCTGGAAAGACATAATTAGCTAATGAAACAGTCCGATTTCCTGAAAGGCAGCGTTATTTATTCATACAGTAGTCCCTGACTTACGACCATTCAATTAGTGAGTGTTCAAAGTCACTGCAGCACTGAAAAAAGCAACTTATTTATTTTATATTCTGTCTTTATTACTTTATAAATAACTCCAGGCAGCAAACATATCTGACACACCTCCTTCTGCCTATTTTCCCTACAACAACGACCCTGTGAGGTGGATTGGGATGAGAGGAAGGGACTGGCCCAAAGACACCCAGCTGGCTTTCGTGCCTAAGGGAGGACTAGAACTCACCACCTCCTGGTTGGCCCAAAGTCACACCAACTGGCTTTCATGCTTAAGAAGGGACTTGAACTCTCTCTCTCTAATAAGAGCCCGAAGCATCCACCCAAGCAGGGGTGAGATTCAGCTGGTTCAGGCCGGTTCGAGCGATCCGGATGTTCAATTTACATCTGTTTCTTTGGAGCCCTGGGATGGCCGTCTTCGCCCTCCCAGAGTCCTGAGGGAAGCCTCGGGACTCTGGGGAAGATGAAACATGCCCCTTCTGGAAGTTCTACACCCACCATGGCCACCCTCACCCTGCAACCTCACAAAGAACCGCGATTTCTGAATCCCACTCCTGCACCCAAGCACTTCTAATTCACCTGATGAATGATATTATATCTTCCACGTGTGTTGCAAATGCATTACGAGAGATAGACTTACATCAAAGGAGCCCACGTCGGCGACACGGAGCGAGACGCTGTGAAAAGAAATATGAAAATGAAGACATTTGTAGAAACGCCTGATATGTCTGAACAAGCCACACAGGATCATCGTGGGGGTCAGAAGAACCCGGACAGCACATTTCAGGCCTCTGCTGCCTTCTGTATCCAGGTCAGGGATCTCCAAACTTGGCAAATTTAAAACTTGTGGACTCCAGGCCTTCTTTGGAAAACAGGTTGAAACCACCCTCTCTTCTTTGTGGCAGCCACTCAAATATTGGAAGATGCTATCATGTCCTCCCTATGTCAACTAAAACATACTTCTTTGGTCTTTTTAGTTGTCAGCAGAAAGGGAGTTGGGGGGGGGGGAAACAGTGCATTCCTCAAATGTTTCAGATAATTGCTAGGCAGCCGAAGCTGTTGGCACACAAGATTATTACTGGAGAGCAGCATGCTTGATGACTCTTGGCTATGGACGTGTCCCATTGGAGAATATACATCCAGGGGGTGGGGGGAAGACCAGGGTCCATGGGGAAATGAATGATGTATCTTAATGTCGGCTGCACCCAGGTAATGCCGACATGGTCACTCCTAATAAATCTTTTTTTTTTTTTTACTCTGAGAGACGCGGCTAGAGATTTATGATTTAATGGGGGTGGATCTGACACCCTAGTCCTTATTTTTATTTAATTTTGTGAGTTTACTTGCAAGCAAATTTTATGTGACAGGCTGAGCTAGCCAATGGCAGATAGATAGATCTCTGAATGAATCTGTGATTCTGTGAGCAACTCAATCTGCCTGCCTGCTTTGCCTGATTTTGGTAAAAGTTGCTCTTTTTTAAAATAAAAAAATCAATATTTACATGCATGGTGTGTTGTGAGTTAATTTTGTGAGTTTGCTTGCAAGCAAATTTTATGTGACAGACTGAGCTAGCCGATGGCAGATAGGTGGATCTCTGAATGAATCTGTGATTCTGTGAGCAACTCAATCTGCCTGCCTGCTTTGCCTGATCTTGGGTAAAAGTTGCTCTTTTTTTAATACAAAAATTCAATATTTACATACATATAATATTTACACACAAGCCATGCCCAGCCAGTCACATGACCACCAAGCCACACCCACAAATTAGGCCACACCCACAGAACCAGTTAGTGGTCCCTGGGATCTAAAATTATGAGTTTGGTGGTCCCTGAGGTCCAAAAGGTTGGTGACTCCTGGACTAGATGACCTCCAAGGTCCCTTCCAACTTCTGTTGTTCTGAATTGGGACGAAGGACACATCATCATTCAAATGAGTAAGGCACATCTGTAAATAAGAGGTCCTGTTAGTCCAAAAGTCACAATTCCATGGGTGATTTGGTGTTTGCTTACCTTTCTAAAGCCAGGGAGATGACCAGCTTGGTTCGTGTAACACTGAAGCTTCCACTCAGGCTGATATTCTGCAATCATAACACCATTACTAGTAGTAACTAACATCATAGAGGGTAAGGCTGATAGTAGCTCTTACTCCGGATGGCTATATTATTAGCTCCAGCTTTTGACTGGAGAAGGAGAAAGGGGCCTCTTTGAGTAATGTGTTTAGTAACAAGGAGCATGCTTGATTAATGTTTCCAGTATCTTTGGAGCAACATTCAAGAAAGTGAAATTCTGATAAGACCCAGTTCAGACTTGCTAGAGACAAGGAGGCTGAAGTTTAATCAATTTTAAACTCATTACAATGTAAAAGCCATGCCTCCTGAATGTTTAATTCGTCATTGACAAGATCGTGCTAAGAATAAAAACCCAGCTGACTTTTGTGCCTAAGGCAGAACTAGAACAACTCACTGTCTCTTGGTGACTGGACCAAAGTCACCTAGCTGGGTTTTGTGCCTAAGCTAGGACTAGAACTCACCGTCTCCTGGTGATTGATCCAAACTCACCTACTGGCTTTCATGTCTAAGGCAGGACTAGAACTCACAGTCTCCTTCTTTCTAGCTTGGTGCCTTCACCAGTAGACTAACCTGTCTCTCTTCCTTACACCTTCCTTGTCCCTACAACTTACCACGGCCACCGTCTGCCTTTTGTAGATCCCGTGTCCTTATTCAGAGTACCCATTTGTACTTGGTGGTCCCTTCCAATGTCTACTTATTTAGTGCCTACCCAACCCACTAACTCCCCAACCAGTCAGCTACTCAGAGACCAGAAAGCCATCCAAGGAATAGAAAAAAACCACATCTTTACTGCTCCAATGAACGGTCTCTCTGGAAGACGGAATACCTGAGCGAGGCCTGACCTTCTGGCGGTCTGTGAAAGCCCCATTGTGCTTGGAGAGATCCTGCCAAGGAGCAGAAGACGCACTTCTGGTGGCAGGTGGCAGGGTTTAGAAGCCGCAAAGAAGCCGCCACTGGCTGCACCAGCTACTCTTATCAGGGATAAACAGAACTAAAGCTGGTAGTAATTAGGGACGAGGAAGTTGAGAGATTAGAAACAGGAGACCCCAAGGGACCAGAAGTTGAGCCTTGAAAATTCATCTTCCAAGTCAAGGCTCACCCAACGGATCTACCCAGCGTGATCCCGTATTAAATATTGCAGAAGATTCCAAAACCCTCCTGTGTGCTATGTAAATTACGTTAGCCTTCCTATTGCAAAGATCTGGTAGGTATCAACGGATGGAAACTCATCAAGGAGAGAAGCAACCTGGAATTAAGGAGAAACTTCCTAACAGGGAGGACAATAAACCAGGGGAACTGCTTGCCACTAGAAGTTGCAGGTGCTCCATCACGGGAGGTTTTTAAGAAGAGACTGGACAGCCACTTGATTGAAATAGTATAGGATCTCCTACTTCAGCAGGGGGATTGGACTAGCTCTATTCCGATTGAATTAGCGTCAGGCACCTGGTCCTTCTCTTCTTACTCACCGTGTTTACGGTAAAGAGCGGGGTGAGGCTAGAGTTGGAACGGGAGAGCACTTGGAGGTCAGCACCCAGCTGGATCATGGCCTTCCCATTTTGCAAAGACACCTCCGGAAGGCCACGGACTCGAATCTTGACCACCAAGGGCAGGTCTTCTCCCCCAAGCTGAGACAACTGTGGACAATCAGACAAAAGGAATCGTTAAGACCAGGCATGGGATTCAACCGGTGTAACAACCGGTTGGGTGAGCACGCGCTTTGTCCATGCAAGTGCTCCAAACATGGACTTTGCACATGCTCAGAGCATTTGCCGCAATCCCTGTGTGTTAAACAGAGACCAGCTAAGCTTGAAAAACAGGATACAATACAATACAATACAATACAATATAATACAATACAGTACGGTACGGTACGGTACGGTACGGTACGGTACGGTACAGTACAGTACAGTACAGTACAATACAATACAATACAATACAATACAATACAATACAATACAATACAATACAATACAATACA